CCACTGTGAGTTTCCAAATTACATTCGTAATGCACATTAAATTCACACCGGGCGCACGCCATGAATCTTTAAAATTAAGTGCATCGTGAATTCACCGTAAGTTCACAGGTCATCCATTAATTACGTGAGGCAATTTTGGCGATTTTTCGACTCCCCCCTCCCCTTGGTGAGATGTCGTGAGATTTTGTCCGACCCCGTCCCCCCTCCCTTAATCTCACGTGAGATGTTTTAAAATGCATTGTTTTAATGTAAATAAGTTAATCTGTGATTGATTCCATTAGATTTATTAAAAAAAGCAATTGTTATAATTGTTTACTTAACCCAAATAGTGCCACCGTCCTTTTAAAAGGACGGCAAAGAAATGTGGATTTTTTCTTGACTTTTTTTTCTTGTCAACCCCTATTATGCCACTGACCTTTAAAAAGGACGGTCAGTATTGGGAAAACCATATACAATAGAACAAATTTTTATTGACAAAGTATGTTAAATATGGCCTTAATATGCAGTTTTTATAAAAAAAATATTTACTTTATGAAAAAAATAGTTTTGGTAGTTTTCTCGCCATTTTACACTGTTTCATTTTTTTCAATAATTACGTGATATTTGCCGAGACCACCCTCCCCCCACGTGAGATTGGGTGGGGTTTGGCTCGACCCCCTCCCCCCTAAACACCTCAAGTAATTAATGGATGCCCCCTAACATTTCTTATGCACATTTAATTCACACCGGACGCACGCCGTGAATCTCCAAGATTTTATACAGATCTGTTAGCACGTTTAATTAAAGATCTTCAAATTTATTTTGATAGGTTAGCTATACCTCTGTTTGATAGGGAAGGTATACCTACCCTATCAAAATAAATTTGAAGACCGAATTCGAAATAAGAAAAAGAAAACATAACATTAAAGGAATATTAATTAAAGATTTTTATTAAATATTAAACGGAAAATAAAAAAGTACATTTTTTAATTAATATTAGTTATTAATATTTAATATACCTATAGGTAATAATAATTGTATATAATAATTGCAAAACCAAATACGCGGGCACTCGTGCGCATGCGCCTATGGCCGTCACATTTCAACTAAATGCAGGGTTGCCGCTTTTACTCGTGTGGGTAATTTCTAGTATTTTGTAATTTTTGGTCGGGAACTTTCACGAAAATCATCCGGCTGCAATCCGGCAACACTGCAGCGTTAGTGTGCGTACGCAGCTAAGAGCCACGAGGTTTTCTATAGAATACCATATATGGTAAACATCTAGCTAGATATCCTGTATACCGGTAAAACGTTCAGTTCATAATATGAACTTCATATCCTTTTTCTATGGTTCAGAGATAAACGTTCAGTTTCAAGGTGTATGTATCTTGGTTCAGTTTTATAAAATTACCTCCTTTGAGGAGGACAAAAAACTAAATAAATGTATGTTTTAAAAAATTATGTTTGTTTTTTAATAAATTTATATTTTTTTAAAACGACTATAAATTTATAATATAAATGTCCTTCTTTGGCGCTATTAAATTCTTGTCACCCTAATAATATATAGGTATTCAGTTCAATAAATACTTAAATTGCTAGCCAGGAATTCCAAAGGTAAGTTTGACATTTTTATATTTTTGCATGATCAAATTTAAGATACGAATTTTATTCTATATATACTATAGTAGATCAGTGCACTGATAATAATTGTTACAATTATTGCAAAAACAACAAAAACAATGAATAACCATGGTTATAACGCTTTATTGTGGTTATATTTTTTTATAAAGTTTTTATTCATTGTTTTTGTTTTTGAGTCAGATCACGTCAAGTGGACCCCCCATTTTCCACTTGGTAATAGAATTTAAATTATAATACATCAATCGTTAGTAGTCATTAGTAACAATATTTCCTTAAAATATATATTTTTTTATTTTAATTTTAACAATTTTTTATGTAACAAAGATTTTTCTCACTTTTAATTAAAAAATTAATTGTGAGAAAACTGTTAAAAGTTTCGTAGTAAAATTTTCAGGACTTTTTTTTTTAATTTTTTTATACTTTTTTTGATCATTGAAATATACAATTCAAATTTTTGATAAAGTCTCTATCAAATAATCAAGTTTTTTTCATGGTTACATGTCCTGGATATAAAGGTTTCATATCCTGAAAAAAAATTTCACTGCCCTGCATTTCTTTAAACATTATTAATTTTTTACTGCAAGGCTCCGCGCCTCATGAGTCGAAGCCGCGCTCGGCTGAATCCCAAGGAGCAAAAACTACTTTTTAGTTAAAATAACATGTTTTTCACGTCACTAACAAGTCATATGTCCGCCCTAAATAACATCACAAATATGACATCCTAAAATAACGTGATTTGGATATTGAAATAACCTTTTTTTTTGTGACATCCTAAAAATAACGTAACTTTCATATCAAAATAACGTTATTTTAGGATGTCATATTTGTGATGTTATTTAGGGCGGACATATGACTTGTTTGGGACGTGAAATACATGTTATTTTAACTAAAAAGTAGTTTTTGCTTCCTGGGATTGGTGTGAATGATTTGTTTTTATTTGAATTCAAAATATGACATCCATTTTAATATTTTTATTAGTAAATATACAGTCGACAAATATTTTACAATTTTTTAATCAATAAAATAAATGAATTAATTAATTAATACAGAATATTTTTATTAGCTATCGCAAGACTTTTCTTTATACACAAAAACAAATATTTTTTTTTGTTCTAAGCGTTTTTTAAATAATATTTATTAAATTTTATAAAATGAGTCTTGTAAATAAATGCTTTAATCCATTAGTAATGTTATAATTTATATATTTTTTAAGGACCAAAAAGAAATTAAAGTAAGGGGAAAAAATGATGAGTTATTTGACTCATTTGATGATGTGTCCAGTGATGAATCAGTAAGTATACTTATATGTAGATGTAATTTCATGTATGTGATACATATTATAATATATATTATAATAAAATATTATACAGTATTATACTCATGTGTATGCATTAATTAGTATTATTGATGTTATAATTCATATTTTTTTAAGGTTAAAGAGGACATTGAAACCTCTGAGGTTGATTCGGAATAAACTTTACAACATAACACTTTGTGTTTTATTTCAGTATACTATTGTACCTCAAGTTTAATTATACAAAGTTTATACAAAAGTGCTCTTTTAGTTCCACCCTTACTTCTTAAGAAGTCGCATAAGCCAACTGAATGGCTTGTGCGGGTTAGGGGTAGGAACGGACCGCGGGCTTAAAGTCCCCTTCGAAGGACTAATACACAATAGGACAAACACAAATAAACAGCCATACCCCTGGTGGGATTCGAACCCACGACCTCCGGCTTGTAGTCAGCAGCACTAACCACTAGACTACCGTCGGCGTGGATGGCATAATTGTCTAAAAAAATATTCTCCAATTGGACATAAATCACATCTTTATTTAACATTTTTCATTTGACTTTATTTACAAATATAACAAAATCTGTTATTTTAAAAAATAACACGTTTTATTTTGTGTTCCAATTTAAAATTAAGTGCAAAAAAATTGAGTATACGCACGAAATTCACCGTAAATACGCACGCGAAGATGCGTCCTCCCCTTGAATTCACCGTAAATGCACAAGTGAAGCTCGAAGTGAGTGCGCATGCATGCTAAAATTCGCGCGAAAAAATTGAAATTATGGTGAATGCACATTTTTTGTTCAGAAAACTTATTTTACTCTATAGGGGAAAATATGTTTTCTGAACATGCACCCTTATTTCATTTTTTTCGCGCGAATTTAGAACACGCATGCATTTACGGTGAATTTAAGGGACGGACGCATCTTCACGTGTGCATTCACGGTGAATTCAGGTGTGCATTTAAGGGGCGGATGCATCTTCACGTGTGCATTCACGGTGAATTCAATGGGCGGATATATCTTCACGTGTGCATTCACGGTGAATTCCAGGGGCGGACGCATCTTTTAGCAACCGTGAATTCACGCGTGAAGCAATATTTTTCACCGTGCATTCACGGTGAACTCACGAATGTTATCTGGGATATACCATATTTTCAAGGTAAAAGTAGACAGATCGAGTGCATCCAAACTTTTAAATTAACTGAATCATCCTTAAAAATCAATGAACTTAATAGTTATGCAATGCATTTAGCAGACTTTGACAAAACTAAGTGCTGCTGTGAAGAGTCAGCTGTATACACCAAAAATAAAAGGTAGTGTCTCCCCGACCGTCGGACGGACGTAGAAAAGTGTTTGCTCGACCGTCGGACGGACGTAGAAATGTGTGTGCTCAACCGTCGCATATTTTAACCTCATTTTCAACTAGAGGCTAAATGTAGCAAAGTATTCCTCAAGGTTATGACGAATAGCTGTCATTTTGGTTATGCAGGTACACTGCATTGTGCCATACCAAACTAACCCAAACTTAACAACCCAACCCAACCGACCCCGCCCCATTGGGCCCCTCCCGCCAAATTGTCACAATCCAGCCTGCCCTTAGATATATTATACCTCTATTGCTCAATGGGGCGGGAGGGGTCCAATGAGGCGGGGTCGGTTGGGTTGGGTTGTTAAGTTTGGGTTGGTTTGGTATGGCACAATGCAGTGTACCTGCATAACCAAGATGACAGCTATTCGTCATAACCTTGAGGAATACTTTGCTACATTTAGCCTCTAGTCATTTTCACACGTTTGTACGTCCGTCCGACGGTCGAGCACACACATTTCTACGTCCGTCCGACGGTCGAGCACACACTTTTCTACGTCCGTCCGACGGTCGGGGAGACACTACCAAAATAAAAATACAGTATAATAAAAGGTATAGAAAACCTAGGAGATACTATTTATTATAATGGTACCTACATATGGAATGAAATTGATTAGTTGGATTGGATGGAAACAAATTTAACAAACTAGCAGTTAAGAAGTCTCTTTTGTTAGCTATATAAAGTAATTTAGCAATATAATAAGTAAATAAAAATGTTTACCTATCATCTCCATGTCTCCAATCTCTGATTTTTTGCATAAACTCATATACTTTCATTTCCACAATCCTTGTAGGAGGTTTAAATTTAACCCCCTTTGGATTACTTTTGCTTAATATTTTTTTCTCGTCATAATACTTGAATACATGATTTCTAGACACATATACAGTGTGATCACTGTTCCCTAGGTGGTCCTCCAAAAATTCCAAGTTCCATCTTTCACAAGCTGGTTTGACTATGTTTGAGCCAGTGATTACAACTGGTCTCTAAAATTATGTTGTGCTTTAGATTTATTTTTGCAATATTATTGTAGGTGAAATCAATAATTATTGAATCAATATAGAACCTATTCGTAATACGTAAGGTAAGTAATAAAATAATTGATATTAACAATAGTTAGCTATATACTAGTCTTCCAATGTAAATATTAATAAAAAATGTAAATAAACCGAATTTAGGTTATGTTAAACTTTTGCAAATAAATTAATACAAGTTTACTTACATTTAAAGCCAATAACTCATCAATTTTTGAATCTTTATAATAAACTCTAGGAATTTGTTCAAAATTTAGATCATATTTTCTAAGTTGGCTATAGTCCCATTGTTTTTTATCACTTGTCATGTTTTATATTAAATAGTTCCTTTTATGTTTTATATTAAATAGTTCCTTTGAACCAATAAATATAACCTTCTTTATCTCTGAATATCACAACGAAAACAAATGCTAATCGTTTAGCATCATACAAAAATTACGCATTCACGAACTTTTTTGTCTCTGTTCACGACACCTGAAACTTCAAATTTTGAGTTTTTCTTACTCCCACCACCTCCTCCTCCAAAACGTCACGTTACAGACGTCACGTAGGCCCAAAATCAGTGCTGCCAGATTGGACGCTTTAGCGCCAATTGGGCGTTTTTAAGAAATAATTTGCGCCTAGTTTTTTTATAAAAAGCGCAAACCGCAATTTGGGCGATTTCTAAAGAAATAAATTGCTCTTTTGGAAATTCTTCGAATTAAACTTTACTTAAAATATATCTTCAGATTGCAGCTGCCTGTATTTAATACTTATAGATATTAGCAGCGATCACCACAAATAATAATCATAGATGTTATTAAAGTAGGGTAAACACATATACCTACTTACTGGGTAAGTATATCAAGTGTATATGTGTAAAAAAATGTAATTTTATAATTAGAGGTGAGTGCGGTCAAAATTTGAATTCAAGTAAAAGAAATTGAAATTGAAATATGAGTTCTGATTGGACAGCTAACTTTTTTCCCCTTTCCGTTACTGGAATGTTGTGCAGCCGGCTTAACAGTAATAATTATTAATAAATATAGCCTACCAGCATTCACAATAATAATGAATAGGAACAGTTTCTATTCCTTATTATTTTGAATGCCAGTAGGCCATATTTAAATTTATTTATTTTTTTATTTATTTTTAATAATATTAAACATTTATTTTTGTATATTTCATAAATAATAATAAAATTGTTTACTATCAAGAAAAATGTCTTTATCTATAAAAATATTAAACTGGTGTGTTTAAGTATTTTTAATGCATTTTTCGAATTAACCGTTACAAGAATTTAATTTTAATTTTACCAATCTAACGTTGGCGCTGATTGCAATTTTGTTGGCGCTTTTGGGCGATATCTCACTCGAAAATTGGCGCCTCGACTTTAAAATATCTGGCAACACTGCCCAAAATAGACATGCAATCAGTCACTGATCAGTGTTGCCAATGGGCGGAGAATTATACTGAGATTTTATAGTAAAAAATCAAAATGCTGCAAAAGTGTTTACAACATAAAGCCGGGTCTACAATTGTCGCGGGTCGCAGAACATAGACTTGCGCAAAGCACCCAGCTGACATAAGAACCTTCCTCCATCGCCACGTCGCGGTGTGCTTTGCGCATGCTTATGTTCTGCGATCGGACCCCTGCGACAATTGTAGACCCGGCTTAACGACCTTTTTATTATATTTTTGCGCAAATAAAAAATGTATTTTAATTAATGGGCAGTTGTGCAATTCTGCCGTGCTAAGCTAAACCCCCGTATGTGCAATATTAATAAAGGACTGGAACGAACCTATAACCTACAATCCCAGGTGTAGGTATCAGAGACAAGGCCGGGTATGGTATGTATCTTGCACAATCCACACAACCCTAAACTCTTACGTGGTGCGCAGAACAGTCCTGATTTTCGTTAGAATTCAGACCTTGTTGTGTGGATTGTGTCATAACCTAACAATGAAAATAATCTTTTGTCCTTTGGCATGGCAGTCAACAATCAAAAGAACAATTCAAAAGAATGTTATAGCCTACAACTTGTAGGCAATGCCGGCGTGAGGCATGTGCAAACAGTTTTGCGCATACTAAAAATCCCGAGTAAAGCCTGATTTATATATAGATTGCCTTCCTTCCTTTCTTCCTATCTATAAACAGCACTACGGTTTTCGTATTGTTCATCTTTTACGGGAGGAAGGGAGAAAGAAAGGAAAGCAATATTTAAATCAGGCTTTAGGCAACTGCACAGACTTTAACGGCGGCCATTTTTATATTGTTTACAATTTTTTTTTTGCTTTGAGTTTGTACTGTTTATACAAAATAAAAATTGTTTTAAACGTTTTCTTTCTTACAGAGGCACTTGGAAGCCTTAAATGAGGAATTAAAGTGCTATGGGCAACCATTGACTCCTCTTTTGTAAAAAATAAACTTAATTCTATGAGGGATGTCATTAAACTCTCAATTCTCAATTTTAAGGTTAATTTGTGGGTTATGGTAGTAAAAAAGTTAAGCAATTGAAACTTTTCATTGCTACTTTTTTATTACCATAACATACCCGGACAACATTCGTGATATTCACACGAACATCATGTCGTGATTTTCACAAATTTTATTCATACTGATATCATACGGAAGTCACCGCGTGATAAATGAAAATCATACGATCGTCACGTCGTGATTTTCACAAATTTTATTCATACGGACATCATCCGGATGCCACTGCGTGAGAAACGAAAATCATGTCGTGATTTTTTATGCCAACGGTGTTTGGATAATCATTTTTGCGCTACGTTCGTACACTAAGAGAAAAATTATGTTGAATCAACAGTTTTTGCGGTTAAATACATTCAATATTTTCTTGGATTTAAATTAACTATATATAGTTAAATTAAATCCAAGAAAATATTGAATGTTAAACTGTTAACAGTTTAACAGTCAATTGATTCAATTGTTAACATACTTTTTCTTTCAATGTACGAATGTGTCGCAAAAATGAAGATCCAAACACCGATGGCATAAAAAATCATGTCGTGATTTTTTATGCCATCGGTGTTTGGATATTTATTTTTGCGCCACATTCGTACATTGAGAAAAAAAGTATACCTACCCAGTAAACATTTGTGATATCACGAAAAAGTCACGACGTGACATGTCACAACTTGATATCAAATTGCTGGCACAGTGATTAAGTTTGTCGTTTTATGTCAAGCAGTGACACGCGCGTGATCTTTTTGTCACGACGTGACCCCGCAGGGACGAAACTTTTCATTTAAATGACATTACTTTAATTTGTTCATAATACGTTAATTACGTATTATGTTATTATTGTTAGACACATTATAGGTTAATGATTTGAAACAATTATTTCCCCAAAAATATATAACTTCACTTTATATTTGTTTGCGATTTTGCAAGCGAAGAAAAAAATTAAATTATTTTCCGTTTTATTTTTAATGTATAAATAATAATAAAATTAAAAAAAGCAGTAACATACCCAAATTTTATTTTAAATATCTATTTGGGATGTTCCAGCGCCGCTTCTGGATTAACTAAATTTAATTTACATTAAATTAAGCCCTTTGCCTACTACTAAAAACCTAAAAGGTTTTATCAAATTCGCCCAAAAAATAAATATTTTTTTTAATAACTTGACCTCTTCTGATATTTTCGATTTCTATAGATCACTAAATTTTCCCAATTAAAATCTGGGACACCCTGTATACATGTAGGTATTTTACTTATACGATACTTGATGCACCCTGTATAAAGGTAGTGTGCAAAACTTGTCTTATTATTATTTTATTTAAATAAACGTTGACTGTTAATATTTTAGCCCATAATTTTATTTCACCCAACATGTTTTAAATATTCCCCTGCACTTTCGCTCGCGCATGCGCGCTAGCAATGTCACGGAGTGATATCTCATTGAGTGCATATTGCGCTTGAATGTCACGACTTGATTTCCCATTGATTGTGTATTGTGGAAACATATGAATGCGCCAGTGATATCACGATGTCACGACGGGATTTCGGAGTGATTTCAATACGCAATCACAAATGTTTACTGGGTACATATATATTGAATCAACAGTTTTTGTGGTTAAATACATTCAATATTTTTTTGGATTAAAATTATTAGTTAATTTACATCCAAGAAATTATTAAATGTATTTGACCGCAAAAACTGGTAATTCAATTGTTAACATACTTTTTCTTTCAATGTACGAATGTGGCGCAAAAATAAATATCCAAACATGTCGGTGCACCGATGGCATAAACAATTATGTCGTGATTTTTTATGCCCAAACACCGATAGCATAAAAAATCATATCGTGATTTTTGAGATCATCGGTCAATCGCAAACAGTGATGGCATAAAAAATCAATACATGATTTTTATTTCTCCCGCAGTGACATCCGGATGATGTCTGTATGAATAAAATTTGTGAAAATCACGACGTGACGTTCGTATGATTTTTATTTATCACGCTATGACTTCCGTATAATATCAGTATGAATAAAATTTGTGAAAATCACGACATGATGTTCGTATGAATATCAAGAATGTTGTCCGGCTTCAATTAAAAAAGATATTTCACGTTTTGTTAAACATTCCCGGACAACAATCGGGATTTCCTGGTGAAGTCATGATGATATCACAAAGTGATTTTTTTTCATCACGCTGTGATAACCTGAGTGCATGCACATGCTTCATCACAGTGATATCATGTAGAACTCACGGTGTGATATTTGCAAAATTTGCGCATGCGTATGAGCCCTGCGAACTGCGAATTTAAAACCTAGTTTGTTATTCACATTACACCGTTATAATTTATAAATCGTTGTTTGAATATCACGAATGTTGTCCGGGCTTAACTAAAAAAGATATTCCAACCCGGACAACATTCGTGATATTCATACGAACATCATGTCGTGATTTTCACAAATTTTATTCATACTGATATCATACGGATAGGGTTGCCACCCGTCCTCCTTTGTGGAGGACAGTCCTCTTTTGATAAGATCATGTCCTTCGTCCTCCTTTAAATGAAATTTGTCCTCCTTTCTATGTATTTTATTGTATTTTTCTCGGTAAACTAATAAAATAACAGGCTTGCAAACAATAAAAAATGATGTTGGCCGGTATCTGTATAATTGGTTGCCTAGTTCTTTTTAAAATGCGTTATGAATATTCACTGGGAAGTTTCTTAGATGGTGCTTGGAATGAAGATTCCTAGAATGAAGAGGATTATTCCTAGATGATAGGGCATATTTCTGGAATATTTTGGAACCTTCATTGCAGTCTGGGTTAATTACTAGGTATATTATTATTTTAATCTGACTGCAATATTGCATATCGTCGCCTTCAGGAGAAAATTGCTTAACTCCATGTTGTAAAATTTTACAGGAGGAAAGAAAAACATATTAAAGGTGTATTGGTGTATCTCCACATTACCGCCAAAAAATTGTTTAATGGAAAATTACG